CATTTCACATTGTCTGGATAATACCTTTCCCATCATCAACATGTCAGTATCGGTTTAATAAAATTACCAAGAATTGGCATTTCTCGGAACCCGAATGCTTTGAACAGTGTGCATGCTCTCCTCGCCTATTTTTGCCATTTTAAAGGAAAGTTTATCACAAATGACAATTCTGTCATCATTTACACCCTGTACACCCAGCGGCCGATGTCCAAGGTGCTTCTTTCCAACACAAGCACATATTGATTAATGGTTGTTGTAACCCCTTACCCTATGATTGTTATGCTATGTAGATTAACTACTTTGGTAAATGCCACACAGGAATGGGCCCCTGGGATTTGTTTGAATTAAACACTAATAAAATAAAATAATAATTCTGGTGCTATGTTCGTCGATAACTATGGTTTTGAGCACAAACTGGTAAACACTTATTGGACAGAAAATCACTGTTATTGATAGTTACTCCGTTTAGAATTAACTTTTACCCTGACAATTTAGACTAACATTACTCTTACAATTTTCTCTATTAAATACCCCAAAGTATCCAAGTACACAAAGAAATGGGAGTTAAAGCAATTATATGTATTTTAGTAGAGATTAAAGGATTATGAAATCACAAAACAAAATGAAGCCAGTTAAACCAGGTATAGTACACAGTGAAACAATTTGAAAAGGAACCCAAAATTCCCCTTATACCAGTCAACTGAAATTAGAAATCAGTAGAAATTTTATTGGCTAATCAAGTGGGCCCACGCATTCACACACTGTCTTACATACAGTCACAGTGTTAAAAATAACAAAACCAATCGTTGCAGGCCTGTGACGTGGCTTGAGAGCGTGGAGACCAAGAAAATGAAAACTGGCCGCTTCACTTTAAAAGCAAACAAAAGAAAACAATTGACTGGAACGTTCTTAGAAGTAGGCTACTCACGACCTGACGGGAGGTAGGACATCCAATCACAATGAAAGTCAGGCACGAAGGGTAGCAAGTACAGGCAGTTTGCAGTTCAGCAGAGGGGAAATCAAGCGAAGAATACTCGTGGTCCTGAAGTATCCGAGAGACTGTCCTTTCCCACAGACGAGGAGGTTATTCCGGTCAATAAACATATGATCATCAAACGCAACTGTCCGTTTCCTGTGCAAACATTATTTTATCAGTCCATTTAAGTTACATAATAAATTACAAACATTACTGGAGAAAATAATGGTGAGCAATGCCAGTTTTATGGTCACTATTACCAGATTGCATGCTAACATGCTAACTGCGATTAGCATTTGCGTCAGCAGTAGGGGAGAGTGGGGTAAGATGAGCCAGTGGGTAAGTTGACCCACCCCCTGTTTCAGCAGTAGGGGAGAGCCAGTGAGCCAGTGGGTAAGTTGACCCACCCCCTGTATCTTGCCAACTGTACACTTTTATTGTCATGTGACCATATATTTTGAAACCACCCATAATTTCTGCCAGACTGTGAAAAGAAGAAACACACGGGAGGAGTGGAAGGCACCCAATTACTTTAAAAACAGTTTTTCGCTTGTCAAAGTAAAATTTTAGCATAACATATGTAATGGCTGTTACATCAAAGTAAATTTATCCAGGTCTAAAAATATTTATGATGCATATAAGTGATTTAGCAATGTATAAAACCATGTAAATCATTTAGCTAAATATTAGCCTGAATTAGTAAGCAAGCTAGTTTTTTTCCAAAATGGCAGCTATGGGGCAAAGTGAGCCAAATGCTGTGGGGTAAATTGAGCCCTTTTATCTTACCCTACCATAAGGCACTGTAGTTAAGTTAAATCTCTGAATTATTTGATATACAAGTGCACCAAATCCATATCTGATAAGAACCAGAAGATGCTTTTCATCACATTATAAACATTATAATCTTTTCACCTGTAGTCCCTAAAGGCCTGTTCGACATTGCAGAAAAGCTACCATGCCAAGAATCTTTTGACTAAATTGTTCATTAGTTTCAGTGACATTTATTCCTTCATTCTAATTCAGTTTTTATTTTTATTTTACTCAACAAACTCTCTGTTTCTGTTTTTGGGAAGATTACAACTTTGGTGTTAAACATATTGTTTCAGAAATGCAAACA